ACTTAGTGTATAGACTTTCTTACAGAACAGACCAACAGTGCTGAGGGACCATCAGGGGTGTGGGAAAAAGTGGTGTCTTGCTTCTATTGCTGTGAAGAGACACCATGACCAGGGCAACTCTTATAAAAGGAAACATTTAACTGAGGGCTTGCTTACAGTTTCAGAGGTTTAGTCCATTATCTAAACAATAGCAGCAGAGAACAGGCAGGAGTGGCACTAAAGAAGTAGCTGAAAGCTACACCCTGATCCACAGCAGAGAGGGACAGAGACACTGAGACTTTTGAAACATCCAAGCCCACCTAACAGGGACTCATTTTCTCCAACAAAGCCACACCTTCTAATCTTTCTAATCCTTCTCAAATAGTGCTACTCCCTGGTGACTAAGCATTCAAATAGATGAGCCTATAGGGGCCACCAAAAGTGACTTTGTTCTGGTGTTTTGTTTTTGCCATTTTCAAGTTTATGTTCTATGTTATAACTTTAAACAGCCTTCATTTGTAGACTCCTGGATGTGGGAAAACAAAGCTAGGCTAAACATCAGAGCAAAGGAGTGTGGACTCTGCCAACCACCAACAGGTGACCATAGGATTGAAGCCACTTCTTTCATGGAATTTGCATATGGTCTCTCAGAACCTGCCAAGTGTGCACCTCAGAAGATCTCTGCCATTTCGTCAACCTCCTCCTGGTTCTCCGTGATTTCTGTCATCTGTTATTTGCATTCAGTATTATGTTATGGTGTCTTCCATCATCTGTTGTCTTTTTTTATTTTCATTCAATGTTATACTGTGGTGTCTTGACCTTCCCTTCAGGCTGGGTTTGATCTCTCTTCCTTGCTTGTAAACTTCCCTGGGCTCTCTGCTAACTTTCCCTCCAGAACAGTTTACATCTAAGCTGCTGAGTCATAGAAGGGGGAGAAGTCTGTGGGTCACAGCACCAACCAAGTGAGGACACAGACTCATTAACCTAGGACTTGGAAGGATGCTTGCAAACCGGAGCAAATTCAGAAGGCTCAGAAAGCAGCCAAGAAGTCGATGCAGAGGGAAAGGTGCAGAGTCCATTCCAACAGTGGGAAGGATCCGGTCCCACGTGTCAGAGGAGAAGGTATGCAAAGCCCTTTTAGTTAGCAGCAGGAAGACGCCTCCTAGGATGATTTTGATGCCTTAATAGAAAGGAAGAGAGACAACAGAAGCAAAGTTCTGTGCTTCTGGAAGCCTTGCTTCAGCGATTGATCTTTAAATATTTGCTGCTCAAACCAAAGTCTGGATGGATATGAACTTTACATTTTATGTTTCTCAAAGGTCATTGAATTAAAAGTCAACTTTTTAAAGTAAAAAAAAATGAAGCATAACAGTATGTGCTAGAAAACCCTGATAATACAAACACTTTAAAAATGTATGATGGTGGCAGCTTCTGGTGAATCAACAATAATTAAGTATAAAAATGGTTACAAATGTAGGTATTGGTGGTACCCAAACACAAAGAGGCTTCCTATAAAATAAAGTATGAGTATGGCATTACAAAAGCCTCCTCAATTCAGCCTGTACCTCCAATGATCATGTCAGTTTCAATTCAAATAATAATATAATGCTGATTATAAATGTATCATCTTATATACTCTGATGAGACTCATAGAAAAAAGGGCATAATTATCCCATATTTCAAATAAGAAAAGTGTCAGGGAAATTAGATAATTTCTCTAAGATTATACTACTATAGTAAGAATAGAGGCCTAGTCTATTAAAATGCAAAGCCACTCATAATACTTTCCACAGCCAGACACAGTAGCAAATGCCTGTAACCCTGGTAATCACAGATAAGTGCTAGATCATGGCCAGCTTAGGCTACACAGCAAAAACCTACCTAGGGAAAGTAAAAAGAAAAGAAGAAGGCAGATAGGAGGATGATGAGAGGGAGAAGGAAGAATGGAAGGAAGGAAAACAGAATACTGGAGAGCAGACCAATCTCTACAGCGGCTTTCTTGTTCTCAGCTACCGTGGAAAACTCATACATACAATCTAGAATTGGGATCACCACCATTCACCCATTTTAAAACTGAGCAGGCACAAAGAAACCCGAGCCTTAGATTTCCTTAGCTCTGGTGTTGGAGAGATGGCTCATCAGTTAAGAGCACTGGCTGCTATTCCAGAGGATCCAGGTTTGATTCCCAGCATCCACATGGTGCCTCGCAAACTCCAGTTTTGAGGGTATCTGACTCCCTCTTCTGGCCTCTGTGGGTACTGCAGCACATGGTGCACAGATGTGCAAGCAAAACACTCACATATATAAAAGAAAAAAACATTCCTTAACTGTAAATTACCCTAGACAACAATGCCAACTTACTGTTACAATATTCATAAGATAGTATACATAAAAATGAAGATGATGTCTGTCTCATAATAGGCAGTTATTGGGTATCAAGACATGCCGTTGCTGTCCCTTACATGCACTGAAATGCACTGACATTTAATTATTTATTTATGTGTTCCCTTAGAGACAGAGTTCATCATGTAGTCCAGGCTGGCCTCTCACACTCAGCTCCTTGTCTCAGCCCCCACATATTAGGATTGCAATATTGTTATCTGAATTGGCACACCTGCTGATATTTGACACCTCTATATATGCTGTGCTTCTTCAGTTAGATTAAAAAACCCCACAGTTCATACTTGTTTTGTGTCAGCTAGCATGCAGTGGGTTCCAAGTTCTAAACAAGATTTGCCCTGGGATAAAAGAGAGGAAATCCACTCAGTCACTATGGGACAACTTGAGGAATGCTTGATTCATCTGAGAACAGCGGTATTATGAACCTGAATTCCTTCTCTCAGTTCTATCACCTGTGGCTCCTGTGTTGTCCCCAGTCACATTCCCTTCCATCTTGCCCATGTGAAGGAGGACTAAGGTGACCACAATTAAGAGCACTAACCCACCAGGCAGTGGTGGTGCATGCCTTTAATCCCAGCACTCGGGAATCAGAGGCAGGAGGATCTCTGTGAGTTTGAGGCCAGCCTGGTCTACAAAGCTACACAGAAAAACACTCTCAAAAAAACAAAAACAAACAAAGAAAAGAGCACTAGCCCACATTACATATATCTGGGAGGGGATGGCGGCCTCAGTTTGATTATTTCCCATACCACTATCCAGGATTCCCTGTATCTCATGGGCTCACACTGGCCTCAGTTGCCCAACCTGAGTCAGTCACTGGAAGTTGGGAATCTCAGAGTTGACTTTATTAATCATTTTAAGGGAAACAGAATTAATCCACTCCCCTCTCAAACCTTTGTACCTTCAGGTTCACTGACTATGCCTGATTGGATGAATAAGGGCAAGGTTATTAGAGGTGGAGATTCTAGAAGCATCTGGAAAATTGGCAATGAATTTGCTTAGGAATAAACCAGGGCTGCCTGATTTCAGAGTTTACAATGCAGAATTTCACTGGTCACCTGGGACCATCCTATTTCAACTGAGATCCCTAAATTGGCTTAGATCCCTAAAATCAACTCTGAAGTACAGATGGCATAGGCAGAGAAAAATCAAAGCGCTTAGCAATATCACCTGCAGCAGGTCCCTCAAGAGCTCACTTAAGCCCTGCATACCCACTACATTAAGTAACGCTGAAGTACATAGCAGTTGATCGCTGCTCAGTGCTCTCCAATCCTCCAAGCAAAAGCCAGTTTACTGTTGGAGTCTTTAACACTCTCTAACACCAGCTAATCTCCCTGTAACAATTACAGAGTGAGTCTTAAGTTGGGAGCTTTGAAGGGCAGCTGTCTGAACTTTCGCCCACTAGTGTATTTTCCTTTCGTTTAATTTTACAGTTGCTTTGTATCTTTGCTAAGCAATATTGGTCTTCCCATTTAAATTCCCTTTAAAAACAAGTCTACTCATGGAAAAGAAAGTTATAGGTCGATTTGGCAAAAAGGTTTTCCTGGATATGCAGAGAATTATGATAGTAATATGTATCAGTACATGCATATGGCAACGACGTGAGAGTGTTGTGAAGACAGTAATTTTGAAGAGCATTTGCCTGGGACAATTAGAAAGCAGTTGTGGATGTTTAATTTGAGAATACAGGGCCATCTAGCACAGAGGGCAATTATCCTAGTAGCCACCAGAGGGCACTATGTCAGCAACTTTAAAACTTTGCAACAGCATCAGGTCGCCCGTGCTTAGGCCCTTGTTCCTCTAAGAATGGTCAGCAGAGGGCAGTATCAACACCAGGGTGATTGTTAGAGAAGCCAACTCTAGGGGTCCCACAGAAACCTAGCAAGTCAGAATCTGCTTTCCATCAAGAGCTCCTAGGTCATTCGAGTGTGCTTTGTAGTTTGGAAGCACTGGGTCAGACTGACCTTCCGGATGATAGCTGAGTGCTTCCCACTTCGGGAACCAGACTGACATGTCTATGCATTTGGAGAACTGTATTTGCCTGTGGGTTCTACAACCACACAGCTGGTTTTGAATCCAACTTCTTTCTCTGACAGCTTCACTTGCTCAATAAACGGGATTTCCAACGCACAGAGTGGTTTTGAGGAATAGATGCACAGTAAATGGCTGCATATATGAGTCATTTGGATACAGGGAAGCCGTTTTATGAGTCATGGTGGTTTTGTTTCTGCTGTCCTTTGCTGGCTTTGGGGCCTCACACATACAAGGGGCGATTATTCCTGTTGTATTCAATGAGCTTTCTGGGGTCTGTCCCCATATATTGGTGTCTGCTGTGAGTACACAATGGAGAAACAGCATGAAGGATTTCACATCCTAACCATTTTACTGACTTCACAACACAAAAGATACACACATTCAAAAGGGACAAAGCATAGCATTGTTCCTGGCCTAAAAGACCAATAAGCTGTTTCAACCAAATATTAAAAATGACTCATAATTTGAGATGTGGCATTGACACCCCCAGAGAATTCTCCAATATTTTCCCCTTTAATGGACTCAAGGACCAGAAATTGGAAAATGAGTAGAATTCTCCAAAGTGTATAAAATACAAGGTTCCCTACCTGTGTGCTTTGGTTCTCCACTATTCACTTCAATTGGATTTGCAGTTGAGTGGTTTCCTGCTGAGTTCTGGTGCCTGAAAAGATGAGAGGCCCAAGGAGTCTCAGTGCTGGGATAGATCTCCAGGGTCCCACCCTTGAAACTTCATGGGGCAACTGATGCTGTGAAACCAAGATTTCCTTATCACTCAATTGTAGACCAGGATACTCCTTCCTCTTTTCAAACATGCACTTTTCCAGATTTTTTTTTCATTTTTTTCTTCTCATTCAATGAGCATGTATTTAAGGATAATCAAGGCCACGCTCTAGAACCATGATTCTCAACCTTCCTAACACTGAGACCCTTTAATGCAGTTCTTCTTGTTGTGGTGACCCCAACTATAAGGTTATTTTACAGTTGTTTATATTTTATAGTTTAAAGTTTGCTACCTCATAACTGTAATTTTGCTACTGTTATGAATCATGATGTAAACATCTACGTTTTCCAATGACCTTAGGTGAACCCTCTGAAAGGGTCTTTGACTCCCAAAGGTGTCACAACCACAGATTAAGAACCATTGCTCTAGAAGAAGGGATTTCTAAAATATGAATGTGGACACAGACAAAGAACAGTCAAACAAAGATTATTTCAAAGTTCCAGAAAAAGAGAGAAGATAATGTAGTTGGGAGAAAAGTGGACAGCTTAGAGCCAGCCATTAGGCAAAGACTCTTAAACAATCTTTGAATGTGATGACATTTCCTCCAAGCTTTACAAAGGGAAGAAGAAAAAAAAAAAAAAAAACTTCTAGCCAGAGAATAGCTAAGAAAAAACCCCAAGGCAGGACAGAATTTGGTGCATTTGAGAAGCCAGAAGACTTTATAATGCCAGTAGAGAGCTGGTAGAGATAGAGCAGGGCATAAGAAAATACATTGCCAATGAGTCAGTAGCTGCCCAAGGTGTGGACACCTGGAGATGTGAACCCAGGGGCCTTGGGACACACTACGACATCTCTTGCTTGTATTACCTAGAGTAAACAAGATGCTGTTGGGAGAGGAAGCTGCCTTTCATAATGGGGCTGGTTGGCTGGAGGTTTCTCTGGTGCTCACACACGTGCCTATTTAAATGATCTTCACTGTGTATAGAAACAGGCTGAGTCTATCCCTTTGTGTTGCATGTCCCACCATGGGTTATTTTTGAATGCTCATTCATGGTGGCTCTTGAAGAGAACATTACAATGTAGAAATCAAGCCCACTCCTGAAAAGTCTCAGATATGAAAATTTCTAGACCTAGCAGCAACAGTTATAATTACCTTCAGTTGTAAATCTGTTTTTTTCTCAAAGCACTATCATTCTTCATAATGAGTTCTATAATTTCCCCATAGACTACGACCCATTTCAGCTGAAGTGCTGAAACGAAGCACCAACAGTTGATCACTGTCTGCAATTTGCATTGTTCTTTATCCCAGAAAATATTCCTTCTTATTAACCAGATTGAGACCTATTATGAATGTCAATGTAACTTAATTAAAGCATAATATTGATCATAATACCGCTCTCCAGACTCAAATGCCCTCCCCAATGATGCTTGCTTACCTAAACCTTCACTGATGAAGTACAAAAGTAAATCAGATAAAGGCATTTTTGATGAGTTACAGAGATTTAACCAAAGTCTTTCTTAATGAAAAAAATAATAGAGAGTAGGAGAAGAATTGTATCTGCTAAATTATACACATGAAAGGACTTCAATAAAATAAGAAATGTGTTTTGCTACCTTTCTCTCTGTCAGGCGTATTTATTAAACTCCTAAGTACTCAATTCACTGTGTGCTATAAATGTTAGCCCACACAATTAGTTCACACTCTGTTAATTTCCCCAATTGTGTTTATTAGTACTTAAAGTGAACAAAGTATTAGATAAAGTTTACACTCTCAACAAAGCATTAGATAAAGTTTACACTCTCATGCCTCTTGTTTAGTACTTACATATGGAGTGCACAGGAAACTGAGGTGACTTCTATATTCATGGAGATGGTCACAATTTTTTAGAAAAAAACCCACCCATTTCTTTAGAAAAATATTTTAATGGATTTATGGTTAGGCAGAAAAAGGTCCCGAACTGGGTTGGTGTTTGGGGAATGTGGGTCAGTGGGTTGAGTGTTAAGGTATCGGAGAGTTGAAGTCCTTTCCATTTAAGGCTTTCTTGTGTGTGTGTGGAGAGGATGTTGTAGTTTATTTGGAGATCCTTGGTTGGAGTTCTGTGTAGTTGTTGCAGAAATGACTGAGTTGTCATCATCTTGGCGTTAACAAAGGGAGAAAGAGATGACTCAGTTTTGAAAGAAAAGGCAACAACAGACAAGAAAAGGAGTTCCTGCTTGGGGATTCCCAGAGCCTTTAGATACATGTTGTACTTGCCACAGTCTCCTGGAATGAGGGCCTAAATGATGGCCTTAATGTAAAGGTCCCCTGAACTATGAGAAGTCTGTGGACATTCAGCTTGCACTGAAAATCTTGGGGTACAAATACCAAAGAGCAGCCCACACTGGATTAAACAATAGCTGGGGACTTGAGGCTCAAAATGCTAAGATTTTGGATGAGTAGCTAAGGAGAGTTTCTCAAGCCATAAATTCTTTAGAAGCAGTTCTTTGAGTCTGTTTACTGTGAGACTCCAGAATGACATCACAAGATAGCTGTAGCTTCTCTAGGGCTACCTGCTTCAAACTCACAACCTAAGGAGAGAAGCAGTCCTGCTCCCAGCCAATGTTCAAGAACAGTCCCAATGATGGCTGCTACTAACCTGAGAGGACTGGACTGCAGTGCCCAGTCTGGGTTCACTGGGGCTGGATATGGAAGGGGGGGCGGGGGAAGAACTATGAGAAAGTAGTGAGGATGTCTGAAATTAATGCTGAAGACCTTTATAAATACCTAGCTACAGCTGGGTGGTGTCGGCGCACACCTTTAATCCAAGCACTTGGGAGGCAGAGGCAGGTGGATCTTTATGAGTTCAAGGCCAACCTGGTCTAAAAAGCAAGTTAAGTTCCAGGACAGCCTCCAAAGATACAGAAAAACCCTGTCTCAAAAAACAAGCAAAATAATAATAATAATAATAATAATAATAATAATAATAACAATAAAATCCAGCTACACCTCAGAATTTAGACATCAGGAACAGTTTAAGGTCTATAAAAAAAATGTTTAACTACTCAAGAAAACCCAATTTTAATTCTCTTTCCACAGCTGTTATATAATGAAGTTATTTTCAACTTAACTGTATCATTTTCTCCTCCAAGCTAAGAGTTAGTGAGACCCATTTAAGCTATATCAACACTATTGTGTTGTTGTTGCTTAGAGATAAATTCTCACGATGTAGCTCGGTCTAGCCCAGGATTTACATATCTTCTGCCCAGGCCTAATGACAGTACTGAAGCATTTTTTCTAATTATTTTTATCAATAAAAATATCAGGAGTCAGATATTGGGGTAAGAACTTGAATGATCAGAGAAACGAAGAAGCAACCAGTTACCTCCTCTCTCTTCTGTTCCTCCGTCCAAAAGGACTGCTGACATCCTCTCTCAGCTCTGCCTTACTACTTCCTGTCTCTTATCTGTCCTGTCCTCCAAAACCTCTATGGTTCATTTTGGTCAGATAGTGGCTAGCTCCACCCTCTGACTCAGGCAAACTGTATTGTCAGAACGTGACCAAAGCATCTCCCCCACACAGTACATTTAAATGAGACTCGCCATACTCAGCTGAGCGTTATTGATTTGACTGCATTTTTGAAAGTTTTGGGGACACAAAGGACTATCAACCCAGAAGCTGGATACTAGAAGAATCTGGAAGTCTTTCAGTGACCGGGACCTGGGCCTTAGCCTTTCCATCTCCAGAATCTAAGGCTCATTGCCAACCTTGCAGCAGGAGCCCAGCTGGGAAGCCCCAAAGGATTTTCCAGGCCTCCCTCTGGGCATCCTTGCACTATTTCTGCAAGGCTCTCCCAATAAATACCAAAAGCCTGAGTAGCAGGAACTCCTGCCAGCAGCTCACAGTTGGAACGATGCTTTAGCCAGCAATGTTTCCCAGATGTGCAGACTCAGTGTGCAGCGACATCTGCTAACAGGGTACATGTTTTTCCTGATAACTGAAGAGGGCGTGTGGCAAATGTCCTTCTGGATACGAACGAAGGAATCCTGTTGAATTTGTTTAACATGGTGATAACCCGGTGAAGAAAATACTAGAGAGTTTGAGAACGCAGGAGACCTTGGGTTTGGCCCCACATTGCTTTAGATTCTCCCTTCCTTCCAGATCAACTGCAGGAGGGTTAGGGAGACACTGTTTATATGGCAGTTTCAAAGATCCTGGAGTGCTAGTCTAGGGAGGCATGAGAGTCCTTTTCTTTTTTTATTTCCTTTTGACTTATGCTGAGATTTCCAAGTCTGATGTTTCCTATCTAATGCTCCCCTGAACTACACCTGGTAGAACTTTCTTTATTGTCCAAATAGCAAGACCTTTAAAGACTAAAAACATGGATATTTGCATTTTAAAGAACACTAACCACCTTCATTATGAACGGAGACTGGAAAGCAGAAGAAAAGTCAGGTGGAAATGCATTATTTATGTGGGTTTGTTTTTAATTGATTGATTTGAATAATTTCCAGCACGCTGGTGCCGACTGACAGCATATGCTGTTTGGTAGCTATTGTAGCACACTAGCTCTTCTAAAGGCGGGCAGCTTTTCATCTGGGAATGTTGACCTTGGGCAGAAGAATAGATTATACTGTAAACCCACCTCTGCTGTTACAATGGTTCTCTACTTTAAAAAGAAAAAACTGCCCTGCAGGTCTTGAAATTCCTAACTCCATACCTTCCTATTTAGAATTCACGTCCAGGAGCCCCCTGGACATGATTATTATTATCAATATTATTCAGGAAAGATGTGTATTTAGTCCATTCACATCTGGTTTACATAGAATGTCTCCTTGAGTTTAATTCTTTGTCCTGCATTTTCCGGTTCGAGGCGGTACCTAAGATTTCTTTATCTACACCATCTGAATTCTTTATATTGGGATTAATCCTCAGTCCAATTAACTGGATAAAATTATAACACACTGGCACATTTATGTAACTAATCCCCGAATCATGTGACACAAAACACCATTATATATGGATGATACTGTGAATGTAATTATAACCTCTCTGGTAATTGTCATGCATCTCAGTCCTGAGCTCAGTACTGAATCCTCTTCTCACTACTCACCATTTCCTAGCAAAAAGGAATGCTACCCAGTTGCTAGGAAACTCAGCTGTATTGTCTGTGCCCTCTACTTTCTGCACTCTCTGGCTTCCTTCTAGCAGTCTAATTATAATTGTTTTCCTTCTGAAGGCTGTCTCTCCATTCATGGCTGCCGTTGTCATCTGATAACTGTCAGTGTTATTGTCACTATTGAATTCAGTGATGAGAAGCTACAATTTGCTCATCCTTCAACAGAATAGAAAATTGATGTGTCCTTATGAGGCATCTGCATGCTGTCAGAGAATCCATTTTTCTCTCAGAGGTCACATTTCCAAAGAAAGTTCAATGCTTGGCACCCCTCCCACCTCGAATGTCCCTCATCCCTCTGACTCCTACTACATAATCCCTTTCCTAGAAGACAGAGGCTTGAATCTGTATTATAGTTATGTGTTTGTGTATGACGGTAAAATCTGACACAAAGTAAAGTGATGAAATCACTCTGTAAAAACAAAACAACACACACAATAAACAACACAACAATGACAGAAACCACATTTATGTGTGGACCCATTGTGTGCTGGGAATTGATCGGTGATTTACATACTCTATCTTGTTCGTTCTTACTAAATTCTATACGGTGAATAAGGAAGCTGAGAGGAGTCCCAGAACCAAGACTTGGTAAGTGTGGATGACAGAACAAAATTCCTTCACTTAAGATGTCATTGAGTATAAGAAGTGGTAGTAACTTAATAACAACTATCCAATAAATGTAAGATAGATTGAATTCAGAAGGACCAAAGTGAGGAAAAGTCTTGAATGTAGACAGAAGTTTCTGTACCGCCCAGTTCTACAGCCATTTAGTCCCAAATAAACACACAGAGGCTTATATAAAGTATAAACTGTTTGGCCCATTGCTCATGCTTACTACTAACAAGCTCTTACAACTTAAATTAACCCATAATTCTTATCTATGTTTAGCCATGTGGCTTGTTACCTTTTCTCGGTGAGGCATTCTCATCTTGCTTCCTTTGCATCTGCTGCATCTCATGCTCTGCCTTCCTCTTCCTAGGATACCCTTAGTCTGGTAGTTTCATCTCTATTTCCTGCCTGGCTACTGTCCAAACAGCATTTTACTAAACTTATATGAGTGACAAATCTTTACAGTGAACAAGAACATTATCCCATATCAATTGAAACTTAACCCAAAACTGAGTCCTTGACTTATCCATTGGAATTGTTCTCTAACTGCTATTTTAGAGAAGTAATGGAGCTAAACCCGTGTCTTTATATTCTGTTGTTTGCCATACCACATTTCAACCTCCACCTCCTCGTTGGCATTTAACGTGGCTCTATCCAGTACAGACATAGATAGTGCATATTTTCTTTAATCTGAAGTCAGAATCTGTTTCTGTCACCTGCCAGAAAAAAAATTGTGCTGAACAAAATTATTTCACTAGCTTCATTTATCTGGTTATATTTGCCTTATCTTATCATCTTTTCTATTACACACATTTGTTAAAATGCCCAAGCTCTTTACCCCAGTAGCTTGTGATTTCCTCAGTGGAAAATTCTGTTATTGTTTTTCCTGTCAGTGTTTGGTATTAAGTAAGTGCTTATTACAGCTTTCAAATGGTTAGCTATAGTGTTGTAGACATATGGGAACTAATGACATCATGGTGAAAGCATAATCTCCCCCTCTTCCTCCACAAAAACCTGTCTCATGGCTGAGTTTTTACCTGCCCTTCATTCTTTACTTCAAGAGCCCATGAGTCTGCTCCTTCTGTAAGATTATATAACTCCTCAAAAACTGCATTTGTGCCTACTATTCATTTCAAGACAAGACATGAATAAATGGCAGGGATGCTGAGCACAGAATTGGTTTTTACTGGCTCAAAGATGAAAGAAGGGCTGGAGAGATGGCTCAAAGGTTAAGAGCACTGCACTGGCTGCTCTTCCAGAGGTCCTGAGTTCAATTCCCACCAACCACATGGTAGCTCAGTCATCTGTAATGATATCTGGTGCCCTATTCTGGCATGCAGGTCAAACACTGTACACATTTAAAAAAAAAAAAGATGGAGGAGTAGAACAAACCCTATGCTACAGATGGTTAGTAACTTTATTTCAACATGGATGGCATAGCACAAACTTGTGTGATCTGCTCTTCTTGAGAAAATAGCTACTCTGCAAGCATAAATTCGTGCCACAATGAGGCAAGAGATGTCCATTGCCTAAACACTTGGACACAAAGCATTATGAAACAAATAGAGTAAGGTCAGCTAAATTTTTCTTCACAAATGCATAGTTGTTCACTATGTGAAAGAAGAGATAGAAGATGAAGATAGAAGAGGAGCATCTAACTTAATTAGGTGGTTAGGCATTTAGTCCTTTTTGTTCTTTCTTTCCTGTTATACCTCATCTTGGAATTGCTCTACAAAGGGAACAAAATTAGAGAGAGGATTGACTGAGAATTTACAAGAAAAGCCCACCTGGAATCAATACAAAAACCAAAAGTGGGGCAGGGCAGGGGGCACTGGAGAGATGGCTTAGTGGTTAAGAGGACTGGCTGTTCTTCCTAGAGGACCTGGGTTCAACTCTCAGCACCCACATGGCAGTTCATAACTGCCTGGCATTCCAGTTCCAGGGGACCCAGCATCCTCACAGAGACATACATGCAGACAAAAATTGATGCATGTAAAATAAAAATAAATTATTAAAAAAAAACAAAAGCAGGAAAAGTACAATGAACATTCTCTGTTTAAAATCTAGATTTATGTTGGTTTTTGTTCAAGGTTTTGAACTTTGAACTTCATGGAATGAATTGGGGTTTGGTTGGCATGTCTCTAGATGAAAAGGACAGACACGTTTCTGTTTTTAATTGCTGATTTACTGTCACTTATTTGGTGGGTGGCCTCTTACATCATCCCTTTTCAACTACCAAGTTCACAGAGTCCCAGTAGTGGCAGGAGAACAATGTGTGCCAGGAGCCATTGGTTGTCTCTTTCTAGAGCAGACTCTGTCCTGCTCTACCCAATGCCTAACATCTGTTTATGAGTGCTGGGTGACTGGTTTTCCTCCTGTCTCCTGGCTGTGTTTAAACCTGACTTTCCAGACTTTGTGTGAACTCTCAGGAAGACTGTGAGACTCAGGTTGGCTCAGACCCTGTGTGTGCGCTACTATTTCCTACTGGCACCAAGGCAAATTCTCCTATCAGTCATTCCTGTCAGCCCACTTGCACTTGGACTGCATCTCAATACCACAGACCAGACATCACAACTAATGCAGTCTCAGTTAGTACAAAGCCTTTTTTGCCAATATATACTGTCGATTAAGCTGGTCCTTTCATTTTCTTGAATTATTGTAAATACTATATTACTAACCAAATTGTTCC